AATAAGTAGGATGAGTACGGTATGTTAGAATGCTATATCTGCTTTATTATATTGTCTTGTTTAAAAAAACATAATTTATTCAGAGGTTTCTAGGGTCTATGGTTTATTCAACAACATTATATGACTTTTATGCAAATAGCATTATCAATGACTCGGTTTGTATGGATTTTGACAGTCAACTCACCTCCTTGTGCAGACAACAATGATCTCAACATTCTATACAAATAATTGGGTCGATTGCTCGCAATAATTGTCACTGGTACATCATATACTTTATTGTCTTTAAGCTGCAAAATAATCAGAAATGATGATTACTTCAACGAATCAGAACATAATACGTATTCATTACAAAGGTGATTTATGTATGCATTTCAAGAGGCAATAATAAAGAGTAATCTATTCTATGATTTGTTTCTTGCATGGGGAACAGTGTTCTGCAAACAATTAATCATTTATATCCAACTAGGGAACAATAAAAAAATTAACATAACTAAAATCAACATCTAAGTTTTTTCTGCTTCGCTTATAGAAGAGAACCAATCAGAATCAGGGGATGAAACACAAAGATCACTTACATATTCTGGACTCATGTCAATTGGTGCTGGGTCTGTACAACTACAAAGGCTGCCGTATCCTTCTACTCGACTACAGAATGCCTGACGCCTTCGATTTACATCGGTATCCGGCCAGTTACATTCAGTCTCTGAAAGAGAAAGGTTATGAGATGTGTTAAAATTCAGAAGGTCAAAAAACAAACAAGAAAAGAAAGTATGGTACAACTGAATTCTTGGGAACTGTAGATAATCATACCTTCTATTGTCGTTAAATGAACCACTGTTTTAAGTATAATTGGTGACCCCCAACTGGCGAGATCAGGTGCTTTGTTGTGCTCTTCAGCATAAAATTTACCTGAAATAGAACAACATTGTGTTGACATAACTTCCTTTTTTTAATAATGACAGTAAAAAAACAAAGGCAAGACTCAGTCATTCAAGAGGGCGCTATAACATACCTTGTTTTTGTGTGACCATCGCCCATGTGTCTCTCCATCCCAGCATATCAGCTTTGGTACTCCCAAGAACTTTTAGTAAACTACGCGCTGGCTTTTTCATTTGAAAGGTACCTTCATCCTGAAAACAAAGTTATGTTTGTATTTTACAGTAACACAGAAGAGTATGTTTGTATTTTACAATAACACGAAAGGGTATGTTGCATTTTTCTACTTCATAAATTTTAGTATTATGTTAATTTCAATTTTCACTACAATACCTTAATTGTAAATATAAGTATTCTTCCATCAGAAACCATGTTGAGAAATAACACCATAGCTTCATCTTCATGTGCTGAATATGTATCAAATACCCTCTGTGCCATTATACTACCTGAACCCTGATGTAATACAAGTATATGGATTCCCCTTCCCTTATCTTTTAATTCATCTTGAAGAATCTGAAACAAAAGTGATTTTGTGAATAAGTTGATTTGACTTGTTAACAAAATTCCTGTCAAGGTTTTACTTAATATTCTCTAACACAGCATTAATATTAAACAAATCTGATTAAAATCTGATGTATTGTACATTAAATATCAGATATTTTAATTTAATTTTTTTTATTACATATTTTTTTTTTATAATAAAACTATAAAAAAAAATTAAAAAAAATTATTGTTATATATTATTCACAAAACTAAAAGTTTGACATTGAGATTTATATTCTTAACAAGTTTAGGAGTGCGTTTGCTCACACTAACCACTGATTCCTCTCATGCATCAGTACACAATTAGGACTAGCCGATATGCAAACAAACCAGAATACCGTAGCTCAAATCTTAGCTCATACCCGGTGTAGACTGAAAACGATTTACACACCTCTGTGATTTATGTAAGCACATGCACTTCTAATTACAACATTAATTACTTCATTCAACTACATTTTGAGTCTGAGTTTCAATGGCTTTGGTTCACCAAATATTGACATACCTTTGTGCCATCCACAGACACAGACACATGACTTGCACTTGATATGACTTCTATTTCCAGACTTCGTGGTAAATTATTTAATAAATCTGATTCCCCTTCTTTACTCAATGAGTTAAGATCTCTACCCACATCCTCTGAAATAATACAATGACAACATTACATCGTTATTTGGTTTTAGTGAATTTTTAATTATTTTATTATTTCTGCAGTAACAAACCTCACAATCATCTGAAGGATACTTACTACCTACTCATTGGACTCAAAATTAATAAAAATGTTTGGAAGCCTTGTGGGGTAGCAATTTTACAAACACTTATTATTATTAATATTATTATATTGGACAAACAATTAAGGTGTTTTTTCTGAGAGGCCAAGGTATCCTCAATTACTGTAACTCAAAGGCAGCATACCCATCCCACGGCAATACACTACTATATGAGGATACCACGTTTATTTATGTGCACTGGGGACAAACAGTTTTCATGTCTTATTCAACTGAACACCATATTCTGGCATTTGTTTTTTCACTACAGAATTCTAACCTGCAGTCTCGCTGATGCTGGGCGATTAAGCCACACATCATAAACAATTGAATAAAATTGTTTAAAAATAAAATAAAAATCATTTATTAAACTAAAATGCCACATTTGAATGTGTTATCATAACAAAGTGTGATAAATTAAAACCCAGTGAATATGAGAAGTTTTATTGGACACTAAATTTCCTAAAATTAATGAATAGTGAATATTTCTCTGTTTGTAATGAAACCTAATTCTGATTTCAAAATGCTTGCATTTCAATTTGCACACTGTGTAATTTTAGGTTAATTTGAATGGTCACAATCTATCATATGTATAGTATATATTTGTTGATTGGTGTCAGAACTTGGTTCCCATAGCAACTGAATGCAACAAACCTTTCCCACTGTGAGCGAGATACAAACAGAAAGATAAATTTTATAATTGTTCAACAAAATTTAATGAAATTTGATGCCTACCTTCATAATCCTTTTGCTCTCTAAGCTTTCTTCCAGTATCCAAAATAAATAAAATATTAATAATTACTGTTACTACTAGCACCACTACCAATAAAAGCTATAACAGAGGAAAGAAAAATCAACAATTAAACATAATGTATTATAATGAATGTATTATACTAATGAACTACAGTACTGTATACTTGATATAACACTGTATGAGTGTTTATTACAGTACTGTATACTTGATATAACACTGTATGAGTGTTTATTACAGTACTGTATATTTGATATAACACTGTATGAGTGTTTATTACAGTACTGTATATTTGATATAACACTGTATGAGTGTTTATTACAGTAGTGTATATTTGATATAACACTGTATGAGTGTTTATTACAGTAGTGTATATTTGATATAACACTGTATGAGTGTTTATTACAGTAGTGTATATTTGATATAACACTGTATGAGTGTTTATTACAGTAGTGTATATTTGATATAACACTGTATGAGTGTTTATTACAGTATGTATATTTGATATAACACTGTATGAGTGTTTATTACAGTACTG